CCACCCTTCCGGTCAAATGCCACCACGTCAGTCTCGAAAAGTACAACCCATCTGGACAACTAGGGAACAGCGATTCTATTTTTAAAAACAGAGGAAAAATTCGTCCCGTGCAACAGCGACTGCGCTAAGCGAATACTTCGTCTTGCCGGTATTGATCATAGTATCGATGTGGCCAGCCAACGAAAAAAAAACTGTTTACAAATTTATTCAATGCTTCCTTGTATCGTAAAAACAATATCGAATTCAGCGTAACAAAATTGACAAAATGAATCGCGGATGATTCTTTTTCTTACTGGATTTAGAAGATCGCAAAAAAACTTATTTCAAAATTGCATCAGATAGCATTTTTCTTTCAATTACAATAAAGAAAGACAACTGTCAGATTTAACTAATCTCATAACAGTCAGAAAAAGGATAGGCGAGCTGTGACGCTGTATCCCTTTGAATTTTGTCGCCGCTGGGGACTTAACTTTGCTGGCAGAATTTTTTTTTTAATTATCGGAATCGCCGTATCAAAAGAAGCAAAGTGGCTCGCGTGGAACCTCTGATCTTATGCCATTTACACTTATTCAAACTTTGTCTTTAAATTGTCAGTTTAGAATGTTATGTTATGTTTCTGGCGTCACATCTGCTAGGCCTGCACACTGCACAGTCACTGTACAATGTAGGCCTACAGTTTGGCAAGTTGGTCAAAAGACAATGTTATTTTCTTTATTGAGATGTAGAGGCCAAGAGACCACACGAATGTCTGACGGTTAAGTCCAGAGACTACAGAAAGTGTGCGAAGAATTCGGGTATCATTTTGCAAAGTTTAATCAAGATACAACTAAAGACTTTGTGAATAAAAAAAGAAAAAGACAATCTCATAACAACAGTGTGGGTGAACAAATTCCGTTTATAAAGCCAGTCTTTTGTCCAATTAAACCTTTATTAAGCTGAAAATCGATACGAAATGTGACATTTCAGGCCTAGCTGTATTCGATACAGTAGGCGATTACACCAAGATGAAGTATGAAAAAGAAATATAGAAAAATACTAGTCCTTGTTCGCCGGTCGCTGTTCCCCGGTAAAATAATGTCAGTAGTCGCTGTTCCCCGGCGCAGCAAGTTCAAACCTTCATTAACAGGTATTTTAGATTCTGTTGGTCTTGCAACTTATAGACCCGCGACTAAATAAGGTTAAACAGAGGGATTTGTTTTTATTCCGCTTAAACAGACGAAACTGAACAAGTTAGAATCGTGTCTTTAAATACTTTAAGGCGATACATTTATCTACGTGTAACAATTCAGCTGACCCTCGTTACAAACACCACTGTCGTTGTAAATACTACAGAATAAATATTGTTGAGTATTGTAATTTTGTCAGTGTTCTGATTCTATCGTGTCACACTTCTGTGACCCTCTCCGCACGCCTATGTAAAATAACCCCAATTTTCTGCCCAATCAGACTGCTTAAAAATATTATTTGGTCGAACAAGCAGCCTAGAATACTGGCAAATCTAATTGGACACATTTGGCGAATGAAACAGCCTCTTGCTTTACTCTTCGAGGACGTATCGGACATCTACAACAGACCAATTGACATGCTGTGGCACACTTTCATCTGTTTTACACAAATCAGAAACAAGCATTTAAATATTTCAGAGTATGCGTGTTGTAGTTTGCATTTTTGAGTTTCAGATAAAGAAAACCAAATTGGAAAATATGTATGAATAACGAAACTCTGCTTCTTTTATTATTTAAACGCTTAGATAAAGTTCATCAGCAAGTGTTTGTTGAACGACCAGACTGCGTGTACTCAAAGAGTTAATATTAGATGGCATTTGTACAGCGCAGATTCCCGCTCAACAGCAAGCTCTGTGCACTTTACAGTCTGTAATATGTTTACCCACAGCAGACCTGATAGCATTCTGAAACAATGTCAACTTCATGGGAGGCATACAGTGCAAGCTGCCATTTTATAGGCGCTAAAACACTAAAACCTACAAGTCAAGTTGTATAAACATAATTCCGTCTGCTAAACTTCTAGTTCATAATAACTGTGCAACGGTGAACTATGGTCACGTGTGTTAAAAGCATCCGAATCAAAGTGAACACTTGTTTGAATATATTTGATTTAGATACTTACTCAATTTAATTAAATCTAGTTGCTCTCTCTCTCTCTCTCTCTCTCTCTCTCTCTCTCTCTCTCTCTTCTCTTCTCTCCCTCTCTGTCTCTCTCTCTTTCTCTTTCTGTGTGAGCATTGGGGGCAGGGGGGGGAGAGGAAGAGACAGAAAGGTGAGCAAGACAAAAAAAAATCCGAATAGGATTAATTGTCTTGTGTCTTGCTTCCCATTCCAGCAAAATGTGATGTATGTAATGTGTATCTATTTACAACAGGTGTTTTTTGTTCAAATTAAAAAGCCATTTGTGGCGGGGAGGAGGGTTTAATGTAAGTGTATTTTGAAGACATTTTATTAATAATTGTTTTGTTTTAATTTCATACAAACGTGTTATTCTT